CTTGGTGTTTGTGGCATCCCTTCATGACTCACAGCTGGGCCCCACAGGCACCACTCACACTGCCCATACTGGGTTGTCTTCCCTCTCTTGGGGGGGGAATTGAGCTGAGCTCCAGCCCCAGGTCTCAAGCCCAGCCTGTTCCTGTTCTTGTCCCTCATCCCGAAGGGCATGTCTACCCTCTTGGATTTACCGATGCCCTGTCAGCTGCCTCCTTCCTCTTTTGCAGGCCAGGCTATCAGAGCCAACAAGGGGTGTGGGGAGTTATCTTGGGGTGAATCACGGCCTGGCAGGACAGAGGCTTTGCAGGGAACTGAGTGGACCCTGCGTGGATTGCAACACCATCTTCTACTTGACAACAAAGCTGCAGCCAAGGCGATTCTCCCGCCCCTGCCCTTCCCTCTGACCCCATGCCCATTATGGCCTCTGGGGCGGGAAGTGGGGAACAAAGGAGAAAATATCCCTCCCAGCTCTCCCCACTGGCTGTGAAGAGCCATTGACCACCTGGTGCCTTGCAGCCCTGGTTCTCAGCCCGGCTGCATGATAGAACCACCTGGGGAGTTTTAAGCTCTTGATGCCCAGGCCTCACCCCAGACCAACTAAATAGAAATCCTTGGAAGTGGAGCATGAGTATGAATAGTTTTTAAGATTTGCCGGATAATTCCACTGCACCTGCACATTTATGATGATTCAGCAGCCTCCAGGGCCAGAAAATAATTTTTCAGTCAGAGAAAGGACAGCAATGTGATATCCACAGCTCCATTTTTCTCCATCTCTCCAACTTACTCTTATGCCATTTACTCAAGAATATGATAAGGGCAACTTCTGTTTGGACTTAATACACAAGGAAAATCATCACACGTTGTATCTCATTTTCTCTACAACCTTATGCAAGGGTGTTATTATTATCCCATTTTACAGTTGAGGAACTGAGGCTCAGAGAGGTTGAGTGACTTATACAAGGTCACACAGTAACAGGTCGTACCAGGATTCAACCCCAGGTCCACAACTGTTTAATCACAGCTATGGGTACATAAACCAGGGAAACACAGGCTGAACCATAAAGGCAAGTTAAAAGCAGGTAGCATACAGCCAGCTACCACTGAGCTGACATTTATGTTTGAGGACAAACCCCCGGGGCCATGAGGGAGCTGTTCCTCTCTGCTCTCTTCTCTATTTTCTGACTCTAGCATTGCTTCCTACATGGAAACTTCCCAAACTCTACCAGCTCTCCACTCACTTTCTTTACCTCTAGTTCCCCAGACTATCAAGCATCAGCTTAAAAAAATTCAGATTACTGGGCTCCAACTCAGAACTCTGGAGCATTGCCAGTGAGGGGGTCTGAACATCTCTATGTCTTTAACAAGCAATTACGCCTTTAACAAGTGAGGGGGGTTGGGTGTGCACATACGTTTGGGAAGTTGCGGTGTAACTCCTTGCTGTTGAAAAATGTGCTCTGTGGGCTTGCAGTGCTGGTGCCACCTTGCAGTGCCTTTAATAGAAATGGAGCATCTGAGGCTGCCCTCCTGACCTGATGAATTTGACTGCATTTTAACAGGATGCCTAGATGATTCACACGCACCTTAAAGTCAGAGGAGCACTGCTGTGGCCAGTCTGTTTGGCATAAAGAGTGTGCCTTAGAGCAGAGGTTCTCAAAGTGTCTCTGGATCAGCAGCAGCAGCAGCAGTACCAGGAGTTTGCAGAAATGCAAATGTTGAATCTCACACCCACTGGATCAGAAACTACAGGATTGGAGGCCAGGAATCTGTATTTTAACAAGCCCTCCAGGTGTTCTGATGCACGCTCAAGTTCGTCCCTAGATGTAGATTATAAAGCACTGGCTCACTCAGCAGCCTCTTTGATCCTAGGAATCCATTGTCCCTGCACTGGGTGCCAGGATGATCAAAGGAGAGCTGGGGCCTGGAGGAACTTTGAAAGCCATCCATGCTACAGGAGGCTAAATGGGCAGGGCTTGTTCCCCCCACCCCTTCTTTGACAGCAGCTTTCAAGGGCTGAGTTAATCCCGTTCCTGTTTGTGGTTCCATCATGGGCTCCTGTCTATTTTGCCTGAGTATTCATTCAGTTTTATCCCCACCTCTGCCCTGAGGACCCTCCCTTTCCCATAGCACAACCATTTCATTGAGTTTGATCTGTTCCTGTAAAGAATGGATTGGTTAGTGTGCATGGATTTACATTTCCCCTAATGATACAGTGCTGTAGGCCGCCTTCCGTGCCTTACTTTTTCACTCAGCAGGGGATTTTTAAGGTCTCCCTTCACTGTTGAATGTACCCAGAGTCTGTTGCTTCTAACTCAGGCTGAGTATCTCATAGGGTGCACCCAGCTCCTCTTGCCCTGTGATGTGACACCCAGGTGGCTTCCAGCTCCTCCACACCACCAAGGATGCTGTGATAAGCATTTCCCCAAGTGTCTCCCCATGGACCCATGTGAGTTCTCCCCATTCTAAGAAGAAAAAACTTGAAACACTTCCAGCCCATGTAACTTGCCCAATCTCTGATCTGGAGAGTGGCAGACTCGCAAAGTGTAGTGTAGTGGTTAAGGGTGTGACTTTGGTGTCAGACTCACCCGGTCAGATAACCTGGCACCAGTCCCTCCATCTTTCTGTGCCTCAGTTTCCTCATCCATGAAATGAAACCTACCTCATAGGTTTTCTATGAAGAGTTGAAAACAAAAACCACTTAGCAGAGCCTCTAGCACATAGTAAGTGCTCAGTAAAGGCTCACTATAATTTTGCCTCTCTTTTTCAGAGACTGTCTTTTGACCTCTTTTCCACTGATATTTTTCTTTTTTGCTCTTGCATCATTGGTACTTATCCTCAAATGCCACCTATTCAAACTGACCTCCAGAAATGACCCTAGAGGTACTCAGAAAAAAGCCTGTGGCCCCGGGCAGGGGTGAAAGGACAGCAGGCAGAGCTAGTTTGGGCCTTCCGGTGTAGGAACTGAGCCAGAGGGACTTGTCTGGTCCTGGTGGGAAAGCAGCGTGCAGGGCCCGCATACAGCAAGCGCTTAACATATGGCTGTTTCTCTTATGTGTTGTAGTGTGGCCCAGATTTAAAGGGGTAGGAGAAGAGTCCTGTCACCCTGGGGGGAGGGTGGAGATCGTTTGCCTTGCTTTGCAGGAACTCTCTTGTGTACGCAGGCGAGGAATCCAGGGAAGGGAAGGCGCCAGAGCTTGAACCGCAGACTGGAGAGGGGAGTCTGCGGCCAAGGCCTGGGCTGCGCAGGCCGCACGCCCCAGTCGGGGCCAGCAGAGGGCGCTGAGCACCTCCGCACAGAGCTGGCGGCCGTTCCGTGCGAACCCTGGCAAGCTGGGGATTGGATAATCCAATCATCTCCCTTCGCAAGGGTTGAGGAGTTTCCTCCCGACTGCCTGGGACTTTTCAGTGCTAAAATCTGGGAAGTCTCAGGCGGCAAGTCAAGACGAGTTGGTTACTCTGGCTGGAAGAAGCAACCACTGAAGTGTTGCACACACACATAAACACACAAGTGCACATCAAACACACACAGCACCAAATGTGCCCAGACTTGCACCACGCACCTCACAGTGCACATCACACACTCATGAACATCACACTACATGCATAACACACACAACATGCTTGCACACGTACACATGTATCACTCACACCACACACATTCATAACATACATGCAACACACAAAGAATACACACACACGTACCACAAAAACATGTGAAACAAACACTACACCACACACAGGCACAGTACATGCACAGTACATGTGCACATCACAGCACATGCACAAGATACACAATACACGCGAATTACACCCATGCACACTACACACACAGCACATAAAAATTACGTGCACAGCACACACACCACAAAATTTACCTGCAGTTGTGCCACATGCAACATATCCATGCACTTTATACCACATGCATAATAAACACAACACACTTGTACGTGTATGCATATACCATTCACACAATGCATTTATAACACAATGCACCACAGAAGCACATCATACACAAGAAACAGTCACGACACAATACCTGTGCACACATGCACCACATAAACATATGCAAAACAAATAGCAAACTGCAACACACACCCAGATGAACAATGCATGTGGCATCACCCCAATACAAAATACATATATGAACCATGCACATAATACATGCACATTAACACACATGCATACAAGACAATACAATGCACAATGCATACCTGTGCATATCATACCACATACACAAAGTAACATGAACCAAGCATATAGGCACCACATAATGCAGCACATGCATGTACTACACATACATGCACGACATCCATTTAATACACATAATGCAGTGCACACACAACACAGAGAATATATACAACACACATGCATGAACACACATATACCATGACCTACAAATACACATATTCACCACACATTTGCACTATGCAAACACACAAGTCACACACATGTATCACTTTGGAAGTCATGGATCCTCTTGTTTCAGGCAATATTTCTCATTGGCAAAAAGAGGATGCTCATTCTTGCTCCAGGCCAATGAAAAATAGTGTCAACAAATTTGAAAACTATATATTTGTTCATTCAGCAATCACTTCTTTACTGCCTGTTGGGCTTTGAGATGTACAATACAAACTCAGTCCTGACCTTCTAAGGGGCTCACAGCATGGCGGGGAAAGCAGGCATTTGACTGATAAATACATCAATGATCATTTGGCTTTAGTTGTAGTAAGTGCTATGAGTTAAAACTCCAGGGTGCAAGGAGGGCACAAAACTAGAATGGGGTGGGAATTTCCTGAAAATAGCTTTTAAAGGTAAGGCTTGAAAACAGTGTAGCGGGGTTGAAATGGAAGTAGGGTGAGGTGAGTGAGGCACCTAGGGCACACAATTTAAGGAGATGTTCACTCCCGGCTGCTGACTCTGCAATTGCACACCCTTGAGTGTGAGTGGCTGAGCAGCCAGGCTGAGGGGAACTAGATCAGGGACCCGAGGAATGTGTGGCCCTACCTCCAACTGCTGCTCTGCACAAATGTTTGCTTTCCAGGAAACTCTCCAGGCTCTGGGAGGAGCAATGGCCTGTAGGAAAAGGGACCTAAATCACCAAACTAAAACTAAGCAGCTGCCTTGCTCCCTGGGTGCTGGTAACCAAGGCTCCCTCCTCAGTGGCCAGCCATGGTGACAGTAAGGGAGCAGGGGGTGTGGAGGATGGGCTAGCATCTCCCTGGGCACAGCTCCGCACATCACCTACACTTCTCAGCTCACCTCCTGGGGCCGGGGCCGCCCTGGCAGGGTAAACTGCAGTCAGCACAGTATTCTGGCTCTCAGGCACTGGACTTGTTTCCTTAGTCTAGTGACCTAAGGAGGGTGGCATGGAGCGGTGGGTCAGGCAGACTGGAGCTCACATGCCTGCAATCAAATCCCGCCTTTGTTACCTACTAGCAGCGTGACTGCGAAAGCCACTTCGCCTTGTTTTCATACCTATAGAATAAGCATGATGATATTACTAGCACCCATCTTGCAAAGCTGCGAGGACGTTCCAGGACTTTGTGAGTTAATACATTAAAAGCTTGTAAAGTAAATCCAGACACATGGGAAGAGCCCCCTAAATGTAAACTGCAATTGTTATTTTGATCCAAACTAAAAGCAAACACTAACAATAGCCCTAAAATCAAAATGTAGTGGAGTCAGAGGGTTAGAACTGGGGAATATCTGCTCTAACCTCCCTTCTGCGTTGTAGAAACAAAGCCATTTGACCTAAAGACGGAAGAACTAGAACCCAGGATGGAGAAGAGAATGAACAAGCAAGAGTCCTCACTTTCTGCTTTCTAGGACAATGGTTCTCACCTGAAGGGCTTGTTCATAGAGATCACTGGACCCCACCCAGGGTTTCTTGTTTGGCAGGTCTGGGATGGGGTCTGAGAATCTGCATTTCTGAGAACCCACCGGTGCCCAGGGGATGCTGACGCTGCTGGCCCAGGTAATGCATCTTGAAAAGCACTTGCTCTAGGGACAGGAGAGGCAGGGTACGGAAAGTTTGCATCCCCGAGTTTGCTACCACCTGATCATGCCCCAGGATCAGGGAAGGGAAAACAAGGGCCTTACTTACAGCGGGTGCCGCACCTCAGGCAGAGCCCTCTGGAGGGGGATGCGGGCACTGAGTGCCTCCTGGAGGCCATGTGGGTCCAGGCTGAACAGGGTCAGCTCCTCTTCTTCAGACACCTCCCCGTCCTCCTCCTTGGCCCCCCAGTCCCTCTTTGGGGCTTCCTCATCCTGCCTCCTGCTCGGCTGCTTGATGAGGCGGTAGCTGCCACCTCTCCTGCCCTGGCTCTGGTTCCTTCTGGCCCGGGGTAAGGCCACGGCCACCAGCAGCTGATCCTCCCTCAGGGAGATAAAGGGTGGCAGGCCCTCCAGAGGGCTGTACTCTTCGCCCTCATCCTCAGCCTCCAGTACCCAATCCTGGGATTCCCCAAAATCCAGGCGGTACCTGGCTTCAGGGCTGGGCTTGCTGGCTTGGGCTGTGACAGTCTGGTGCAGGGTGTGCGGGGGAGGGTGCAACATCGCCACCATGATCAGGACGCATCCCAGCATGAGGAGCAGCAGGAGGAATTGGAGTCTGCATGGTCTGTGCCTGTATCGCTTCCTTAGGAGCATGTTGCTGGAACTCGCCAAATGCAACAGGTCATGTTCAAGTTCGCTTTCTCCCGCTCCAGGCTCCTCCAAGCTTGCAGCAGAACCTGGGTTGCTTGTTCCACCTGGAAGTTTTTCTGCCAGTCACTTAACCTGCTCCTGACATTTGCCAACAGCATGTATAAGACCTGCTTCCACTTACAATCAGAAAACCACAGGACCCAAGTTTCACCCCAAGTCCTCTCTGAATGGATTTCCTTAATTGCCTTCTGAAAGCCCATTCACAGGGACTTCACATTGAATTGCTTTCCTCCCTTTACCCCGGTTTTCTCCTTGGGAAAAAAATAATGATTCCATTCTGCTCAGGTGTTTCTTTCCCCCTTTGCATAAATAGGTTGCTATGAGGTGTCTGGGATGAGCTGGTGGGTTCTCAGTCAAGCAGGGCTGACAGCCGTCCCTCTTTGGACGCTTCCAGTCAGGTCAGATCAACAGATGTAAAGCCGGCAGGCAGTGCCTGGTTTCCTTTCACACATAGCTCCACTCAGCCGAGATCCCTCTGCCAGACACAACCCAGAGCCAAGCGTGCGCCTCACTCCTGGTCCTAATGCCCTCACTGTTCCCAGGCTTTGCACAACTCGGTGTCGTCACTGCTAGAGCCAAATCAAAACAGGAATATCCCAAGAGTTCAGAAGGAAAGAATAATACCTTCTGATTCAGAAAGGCTGTGTGTGTGGCATAGATGCAAGGAGTTGCAGCTGTCTGTTTGCACCCTCAGCCTCCCACAGGGGATCAGCCAAACTAGGTTGGACTCTCCTTCCCTTCCTGGGGACCACTGTCCCTGTCCTCCTGAAGGTGAGGGAGCTAAGGGAGATGATTTTGCAAGTCCCTCCTTCTCCCACAAGAGCAGCTGAAGGCCTGTTCTGCCCTGGGCACTGAGGGGGACGCTGGAAGAGGAGTGGATTCCTCCTTCCATCATAAAGCTTCCTTCATTTAACCAACACGTAATTAATGAACACACGCTATGTGCCAAAACTGTTCTGGGAACTGGAAGTAGAGCAATGAATAACACAGACAAAAATGTGTGTCTCATGGAGCTTGCATTCTAGTGAGAGATACAACTAAAACTATCCACTAGGTCAGATGGTGATGAGGATGAAGGCAGAAAAGCAGAGCAGGCATGGGGCTGGGGAGCATGGGCTGGGCTTGGAAATGGACACTGAGTGGTAGAGAAAGGTTTCATGGAAGAGTTACCATTTGTGTAAAGAAGAGGGCTGCACAGCTATCTGAGGTTGAGCATTCGAGGCAGACAGAATGATAAATGTGAAGGTTCTAGGGCAAGAGTATGCCGGCATGTCTGAGGAACAGCAAAAGATCAGCATGGCTGAAGCAAAGCGAGCAGGGTGGAGCCTGATGGGAAGTGGAATAAGAGAGGCAAGGGGACGGGGGCAGGAGGACCATGCAGGACACCCCCTGGTTGCGTTGAAGGAACTTTGGCTTTTCCTCTGAGTGACAGGGGAGCCCTTACAGGAGAGACACAATCTGACTTGGGTTTTAACTAGATCATTCTGGCTGCTAGGTTGAGACTAATCAGTGGGGGGCAAAAAGCAGGAGCAGGGAGACCAACCAAGAGGTTCTTGGTTTGCACTAAGTGGCATCAGTGGTGACAGGGGTCAGCTTGTGGATATACTTTAAGGAAGAACATACAGGATTTGCTGATGAATTAATGACTAATGTGAGAGGAAGAGAAGAGTCAAGGATGAGTTCAAATTTTGGGTCTGAGTAGTTGGAAGAATAGAGTTGCCATGAACCAAGATGGGGAAGGAGAGAAGGTGGAAGGAGATGAATGCCAGTGGCTTGGTTTGGAACATGCGACATTTGAGGTGTCCTTTAGACAGCAAAGAGGAGACAAAGTGGAGGCAGCAGGATGTAGGACAGCTGAAGGTCAGGGGGAGGTCTGGTCTGCATATACAAAGCTGGACTCCAGCAGCACTCAGATAGTGTTTGAAGCCGTGAGACCTGAGATCACTGAGGGAGTGAGGTAGGTAGACGGGAGAAGAGAATCCAGCATGCTCAGTTTTCGGGCTTCTGTCTTGAACAGATTGAAGGATAGCTGGCCATCACCATGAGCTGTGTTTCTTTTGATGGCTGTAAAGCAGCCATGCTGTCTGCAACCAAGAGTGAAGGGGGAAAAACTGCCACTGGGGAAGTCCTGCAATGAACTTGCTCATTGTTTTTGTCTTTGATCTTAGAATGTCAGCTTGAAAATCTCATGAAAAAAAATCTTACCTTTTGACTCAGTTGTTTCTTCCAGTGTGGTGTGTCTGTGCACACACACATGCACAAGCATGTGTACACATGTGTTTTCATGAAGTCAGAGGTGAAATAGTGGGTTACATGTGGTTGTTCTGGGATCCCATTGTAATGCCCCAGTGGACAGTACTTAGCAATTTCTGGATTGAATTGTGTCTTCCAAATCTCAAATCAGGCTGTATTGCCAGGTGAGGATACTGTGTCATTTCCAAATTCAAGAGGCAGACACCCTGGGAGATGTAGTTCAGAATTACTGGGGACATTTTGAGGTTAATGAGGATGAAGGATTAGAAGGTTTCAAATCCAGGAGGCCTTCAGAAAACTGAGTGTGCACAGTCACCATCTTCCACCCATCTCCAGCAACACTGTGCTTGAACTTGCCAAGAACAGCCCACTCCAGAGCTGCCACCCTGGCCAGCCCGCCGCCTGAGCACTCTTTCCCCAGAAAGTCATCCATACGGCTCATTTCTTCATTTCTGTGTTCACTCCAATGTCACCTATTTAACGAAGCCTTCCTGGACCCACCATTCTACATTGAAAGCCCCTCCTCCACATGGGGCTTTCTTTGAGAATCTCTGTGGCTCTTCTCAACACCTGGCTAATTAAAATACTAAGGTGTTTATTGTCCGTTTCTCCACCCACGCCCATAAAACGTAAGCTCCACAAGGGCAGGGCTTTTGTTTGATTGTTCACTGCTGGTTTTCCAGAGCACGCAAAGCACACTGTTCCACTCCCCAGGACTTTGCTGCTGTCCCTGCCAGCTTTGCTGCCAGTTCCTCCCATCCCTCCCTGTCACCTGGCACACGAGGCCCATACCTTGCTCCCTCCTCCTCTCTTCCTCACCCTTGCTCTCATCATGGGTTGAATCATATCCTCCAAAATTACACGGAAGCCCTGCCTCTGCTGGGGAACCTGTGAAGGGGGCCTTGACAGGAAATAGGATCTTTGTAGATTATCAAGTTAAAAGGAGGTTGTTAGGGTGGACCCTAGCCTAATATGACTGGTGTTCTTACAAAAAGGGGACAATTGGGCAGAGACAGGCATACACAGAGAACGTCATGTGAAGAAGAGGGCAGAGGCTGGGTGATGCATCTAAAAGCCAAGGAATATCAAAGACGGCCGGGAAACCACTGGTAGCTAGGAGAGATACGAAACACTCTCCTTCACAGTCCTAAGAAAGAAATAGCCCTGCCAACACCTTGATCATGGACTTCTCATTGCTGGAACTGTGAGATCATACATTTCTGTTATTTAAATCACCCACTTGTGGGACTTTGTTATGGCAGCCGCAGGAAACAGATACAGTTCCTCTTGCCTTCCTCACCCTCCCACCCTCCTCCACCTTCTCTCAACTCTTACTCTCGCTCTGTCATTTCCATTCTCTCCTTCTCCTATTCCATCTCTTTCCTAACCTCTAGTGAGGCTAGGCATCATACTAACCTCCTCAGCCCAATGGGCTTGAACTTGGCCTTCCCATGACGGAGACAGTCCATGAAAAAAGGCTCCCAAAAGAATGGGGGCTGGGTGACTCTGGCCTGGGATTCTTGGCTCCAGTTCAAGATAAACTAGATCTGGTGAAGCCCCAGATGCAGGCCATGGGTCTCTCCTGGGACTCAGAGCATCGTTGATCTAACCTCCAGGTTCTCAGTGCTCAGAGAGGTGAGATGATCAACACCAAAATTAGACTGCCACTGGGGTGTCTGTATGTTTCTCTCTTTAGCTTTTCATCTGTCTGTTTTCTCATAAGCCATGTCAGCTTTGGTGTTAAAAAGTCTGCTATTTGCCTAGAAAAAAATGAAAATTTTCTGTTCAGGTGGATGGCAGGTTAAAGTGTCAGAACAAATCAGAGTCTGAGAATATTCACTAAAGGAACAGTAGACTTCAGCTAGTGGGGAAAAAAAAAAAAAAAAAAGAATCTGCAAAGCAATAGCAGACCTGGCCCAAGCAATTCAAGAAGATGTCATCAATGGCCCAATTGCTGTTCTTCCCATCTCAAGCTGAGGTGAAAATAGCAAGAATAAGGGAAGCTGGAGAGGCGATTCCCCAAATAACTTAACCCCAGGCACTCGTTTGACTTGGTGCTGTGGTTTGAATGTTTGTTCCTCCAAATTTCATATTGAAATTTAATTCCTGGTGTTTGAGGTGGGGCCTAATGTGAGGTGTTTGGGTCATGAGGGTGGATCCCTCATGAATAGGTGAATTGCCTGCTTGGAGCATAGGGAGACAGGGTGAATGAGTTCTCACTCTGTTGGTTCCTGTGACATCTGGTTGTTAAAAAGAGCCTGACATCGCCCCCATTTCTTGCTTACTCCCTTTCTCGCCATGTAATCCCTGCAGGTGCAGCATCCCCTTTGCCTTCCACCATGAATGGAAGCAGCTTGAGGTCTTCAACAGAAGCAGATGTTGGCACAAGTTTCTTGTGCAGCCTACAGAAGTGCAAGCCTAATAAACTTCTTTATAAATTACCCAGCCTTAGGTATTCCTTTACAGCAACACAAATGAACTGAGACAGCTATAACACAGAGTGATGGCTGTTTGTTTTTTGGTCTCCCCCATTAGTGGTTGCTCTGTCTTTGTCTCTCTCACACTCAGCACAGTGCCTGGCCCGGCAACACATGGTTGTCCAATAAATGACTCTCAGAGATGAGTGATATGATATACACTATGCATTATGCAACAAATAAATTCTTAACAGTGAGGTAACACTCCGGGACCTCAGAAGAGAAGAAGGGAAATGGATGGCATGCAACCACTTATCCAAATGACCAACCCCAACTCCTCCCTTTCCGCAGACTGCCCAAGGTAGCCTAGCCCACATCCTCACTCTCTGTTTCCTCTTTCATGATCTGGCTATGGATTTTATTGGAAAGGAACAGTGCTGCAGAGTAGGATCTTACTGTGTGTCTAAATGGCACAGGGGCAGGCATGGGCAGGGAATGGCTTTTACACAGGGCTAACATGGAGAGGCCTGGTGTCCGCAGTGCCTGAATTGCCTTCTCTGTGCACAGCCATGACCAGCAGGGCCATCACTGAATGCAAGGGCATATTAATCCATTTTCATGCTGCTGATAAAGACATACTTGAGACTGGGAGGAAAAAGAGGTTTAATGGACTTGTAGTTCCACATGGCTGGGGAGGCCTCACAACCATGGTGGAAGGCAAGAAGCAAGTCACGTCTTACATGGATGGCAGCAGGCAGAGAGAGAGAGAGCTTGTGTGGGAAACTCCCATTTTTAAAACAATCAGATCTCGTGAGACTCATTCACTGTCAGGAGAACAGCACAGGAAAGACCTACCCCCATAATTCAATCGCCTCCTACTGGGTCCTCCCAGGACACATGGGAATTATGGGAGTCACAATTCAAGATGAGATTTGGGTGGGGACACTGCCAAACCATATCAAAAGGTAACCAAGAACAAAGGTCCTTCTTAGGCCTTTCTCAGACTTACTGAGCCAGTGTTTATGGGGTTGGGCCTAGGCTTCCGAGTTTTAACAAGCCCTCTGAATGCCTCTAATGTATGAGAAGGTCTTAGAGCACTAATGTAAAGAACACATCTCCCTTACATGACAAGAAAGGGGCCCACACTCAAG